TTTTAAACGCGTTGCTCGAAAAAACTGACCAGACACATTCAATTTACCAGACTATGAACAACTAGGAAAAGTGAAAAAATACTTCTTATCGCCAGCATAGATGCGTAATTATTTTTTTACAGAAAAAGTAATTTTTCACCTTTGGTTGAGTAACGTGTCGTAGAATGCAGATACGGGCATGCAAAATACACTTGTGAAAAGCTTGAAGACTGGCGATTCTAAATATATATATTTTCCTGGGTCTATTTATAGTCATTTAGTCACAATTAGAAGATAAAAACAAGTATGCAAATAATATTCCCACAACAATAATAAATACTAGTAGTAGGCAAAGCTTCCCCACAGCCTCGTTTTCACGAGACTGAGATCGGTTCTACGAATCCAATTGCTGGGATCTGAGTGCGATGTTAATTTTAGGCTCGTTCAACATGGCGGCTCTAGGTAAGTTGAATTGTTGATAAGAACCTTTACTTAATAACTTATAAAACCTTTCTTTCTGTTCTTGCATGTTCTTTTTTGTTATTTCAGAAGTTCCTATCTAACAATGTGAAGGATTATGCACTTCAATTTGGGCAACATAGTACAGTTATATTGAATTACAGTGTTACTTTTACGTACACTACAACTGCCAGATATTCGGCTTTGTAAAAATAAGATTACGTGCATATCTTTTATTTCAAAAAACGCACAAAATTACCTTGCGGGAATTAGAATGCTTACATTAAACAAAAGGACAAAATACTAATATCATAAAAACTGCTGCTACAATACGGTGAAATGCATCATTACAGAGAATACGTGAGAACCCGGCACTTAAACGAACCGGTGCACCAAAACGCTGCGTTCAGAACTATAGGCAGTGCAACTCATTGTAATACCCTGCGTGTACCATAAACCTGTAAGTCAAATAGACTTTACCGTTTACGTCATATAGACAGCGTGAATAAAATTATTATTATACAAAAAATGTAAACTTGTACATGTGTACTGCAAGAAAAAATAAATAATATACATTACAGTATTCATACAATACTTGTGTTATTTCGAAGTGAAGTATTTCATAAACAAAATAGTCTGCGATTTATCATAGAAATCTTGCCAATTTTGAGTATAAACCAGCTCAATATAGTACAATTATTGCTACTTCAGAACTGCACATCGCTTATTTAGTATGAGCCACAAAAAGCAACAATTTAGCATTGGTGTATAGGCAAGACCCTAACACCGCAGTGCAACCCAAAATTGTTTTTATTCCATGCTGTGCCTTGATAATAATAATAAAATAATATACGTCGAGTGCTGCATCTCCCAATTAAAAGATCCCTTTCTTTCTTTTTTTCTAGTTGTGTGCAAGGGAGCTAGACCTTTGGTCTTCTGCAGACAGGTACCTGTCTTGTCACAGGCAGTCCGGTGTCTACATGAACATAACAATGAGACTCCTCTTACAAAACAGTCACAAGTAACAAGGTAAATATGTATGGTTTGGAACCTATCAAAAAGTAGAAACTTCACATGCATTCAAGTTTTTATTGTGAATTACTGTTTGCATTCAAAATAAACGTATGCTGCTATCTTTTGTAAATGTTTGGCATTTCAAACAGTCTAATATCATTTATTTAACATCACCATCTATCACAATTACCAATGTGAAACCTTTTTTTTTTTTTCAGTGTTGTACCATACCGACAGAGAAGTACATCAATTGTTCCTAAATCACAGAAAAAAAATGTTGGGGAGTATGTTGTGACTGGTCTGGACCATCTAGCTAACTGGGCTAGAAGAGTAAGTGTTTTTTTTTTTATATGTATCTCATTTCCGCAGTACTAATTTTAAAAGATTCTTAAGATTGTGCTTACATGTACTAGTATTAACAAGACACATTTCTGTAACTTGGCTGAAATTGAAGTTTTTATAAAGCATGCTTTTTAGTCCGGTTCAGATGTACCGGATTCTGCCGTAAATTCGCCCGTCTGAAAAATCGCCCTGGGCAGTTTCACAGCTGGTGGGCCCTTATTTGGGGTTCAAATTTTCAAAAAAATTATCAAATATTTTTAGGGGGCTTTTATTTTCATTGAAAAATCTACCTACGTTGATTTTCAACACCGCCAGTTGGACCACCCAGAACGAAAGAAACTATTGCAGAAGCTAATCTAATATTGTATACATTTTTTTCTAGCTGGATTAAAAAGTAGGCCGCACATCTTTCTCCCAAAAAAATCACATTAACGAACCTTGTGCGCCAAATACAATTATTTTGTTTCATTTTATTTATTTTAGTTTCAAATAACAACAAACACAACTGCATTGCTTAGTAGCAAATGATTGTGGTCGCGCAATCTGGTCATGCTGCGATTTACAATTGTTGATTATTACCTAGTAATAATTATAATAACGTACAAAAAATAAATTCGTTGAATTGTTATGAAATGCAAATAAATTTCAACTTATTTCATCCTAAGTGAATGATTCTGATCACATTTTCAACACTTGATGCTGTAGAAATGAATATCCGCCATGTTTTGACCTGAAATGGTATTTTTTGACCTGACAGGTCAAATCGATAATTAACCAATGAAATGATGGATGATGCCAACGTGTTCAACTTACCATAGCTCATTTAAATATGTTAATGTTATTGAACACAGCGTGGAAAAGATTTGTCGATGTTGTTGTACGATCTTTCGGATTGGATTTTGATGGGAAAGCAGCATGATTTGTTTTTAAATAAACAAATAAATACGCCCTATTTTGTATCATGTTTGTCACACGAGTGTAAATAATTCTTTGGCACTAATGTTGGACAAGGACTCGTCATTGACAATTTTTTATATAGATTTATCAGCTCTAATGTGTTTGAAAAACCTGGGAAAAACCTTGTTACATTTATTACATTGCTGGATATAACTTGTTAGTTATAAGTGGTAGCTGCTATGATGACCTGTGCAGGGGTCCTGAAATTAGCTAGAGGTGTGAGCTATATACAGCCACTTGTACCGCTCACAGTCTACATGTGGTAGATAGTTTGTGGACAGTGGTTATATGAGAAGCACAATCTGAGCAGTTACCCACATTACAACTTTCACCACTATTTAGATTTTCTTTTCATCACATCACATGTTTTAATTATTAACTGTTGTGTAATTTATTTAAGTGCATGCACTACTAATAGAGCAAATATAGTACATGTATATGGGGTTTTGGTTAATTCAATGTTTCCAATGTCGATTTTGAAAACATGCGTTTATATTTTACAGAGCTCAATTTGGCCAATGACATTTGGTTTAGCTTGCTGCGCTGTAGAGATGATGCACATGGCTGCACCCCGTTATGATATGGACAGGTTTGGTATTGTGTTCCGTGCTAGTCCTCGGCAGTCAGATTGCATGATTGTAGCCGGTACGTTAACAAACAAAATGGCACCTGCTTTGAGAAAAGTTTACGACCAGATGCCAGAACCAAGATGGGTTATTTCAATGGGAAGGTAATTTCACTGTATTTTTGTCTATAGTATTACAGTATACTTGTTTTGGGCAATGATTCAAGCATTAAATATTTGTATAAAATTTTGAACTCTGCAGTTATCATGGTTGCTAGTTTGCTCATATTGTTCATACTGTAAAATACTTTATTTTCGCATGGAATTAATTTTCACTATTTTCACTGAAGCAGCGAATATACCTTTTTTCCTATATTTTACATTCAACTCGTCAAAAATCAGTGATAATAAAATCTACACAAAACACCCAAAAAGTCTTTTCAGTGAAAATTAATCCCAGTAAAATAAAGTATTTCACAGTATATGTGTGTTCTTTGCCTGCAACCAAACCTGTGTGTATTTCGGCATTATTACTACAACCTGTAGAAATATTTGATTTAAAATGTTGCTCAAATCAATTACTCAAGATAATCTTGCATATATATTGTTTTATCTTACAGTTGCGCTAATGGTGGTGGCTATTATCATTATTCTTACTCAGTTGTGAGAGGTGTTGATAGAGTGGTACCAGTAGATATCTACGTACCAGGTTAGTACTTGTTAACTAGATTACTTCTCCCTATTACTGGGTTAATTTCTATGCAATGTGAAGTAGAAAATTATCTTTAAACTTTGAATGCACACTAGACAAATGTGAAACAAGTATGTACATTTTGTATATTTGTGATCAAGGATAATTGGGTGCACTCTGCATGAACATAGCATTGTTGTCTGTTAATACCATATTTTCTCTATTTGAAGTGCATCTCTAATAGAAGCACACGTATGCCAAAAATACTATTTACAAAATATGACTTAATTTGACCATAGACACACTTCTATTTACATAAGTGCATACACAACTAATACTTGAGCAAATGATGCTACATTTTTTTCTTCTATGCTATCAATAAAGAGTCATTGCTCGAAACGTCTAGCTATTTTTAATAGTTATTTAGGACTACGATTACCAAATATTATTTTCTATATATAATACTTGAGCAGCTCTGTGACTTCAGCGGTTAAAAGATGTGAATGAGAATATATTATTGCAATACATTGTACATCTCAAGCTTGTAAATTTATTCTATTTTGTGATTGAAGAACCTGGGGAAAACATTATTACATTGCTGGATATAACTTGTTAGTTATAAGTGGTAGCTACTATGATGACCTGTGCAGGGGTCCTGAAATTAGCTAGAGGTGTGAGCTATATACAGCCACTTGTACCGCTCACAGTCTACATGTGGTAGATAGTTTGTGGACAGTGGTTATATGAGAAGCACAATCTGAGCAGTTACCCACATTACAACTTTCACCACTATTTAGGTTTTCTTTTCATCACGTAATGTTTTAATAACTGCTGTGTTTCCCTTCACATCTCCAGGTTGTCCTCCCACAGCGGAAGCTTTGTTGTATGGTTTTCTTCAGCTACAAAAAAAGATAAAACGCCAAAGGATGATCACCATGTGGTACCGACAGTAAATTTTTGACAAATGTTTGTATATAGATTTATAGCGTCAATTCATCAACCTACTGCTTGTCATTGCACTATGCTTTTATAAGTACTGCCTTCATAGTTTTTGGTGTGTTTACAATTCAATACTATTGACACTAGAAATAGAACAGGGTCATACAATTGCTTAGTAATGTACTGTTAAAATCAAGTAAATCCACAATAAAAGCAAAAAATCAGATATAAGGTTGTCTTTAACTATTATTATGTGTCATTTCAGTTTATTATAGCTGGGGAGTCATCACCTGCGCTTGTGTTAGATGGCCATAGCGTGTCATTGTTTACAAACTACCCATGAGCCTTTGTGTTATTAGTGTGTGTTATCTTTGCTTGGGACTCAATTCCCTCGCGTGTGCAGATGATGACCCTCTCGCTTTAATAAAAACATTGAATTTGAGGATTTAATTAATATTCTACTCAGTTAAAAGTGTGGCACATTGCTTGTGTGAATTGAAAAGCAGGCCTAACACTGCTAATCAGTGACTTACCTTTGATGTTTTCTAGTGTCTATGGTTGAAGCTACATACATTTTGCCACAGAACAGTTCGGTTCAGAATTGAGATTTTTTTTTCTGAATGTCACGGTAGTGTAATTGTTTGATTGGAATGAATAAAACCATGTTTATCCAGTTATTTGTCGTCTTTTAAGTTAATAGATTCATGTCTGTCCAGATTGCTAAATTCTCAGAGTTGAGTTTTTTGTACCAAAAAGTTTAAATGATAGATTCTGGTAACTGCCATCGTTCGAATTGCACGGTCCTGTGTCTTCGACCTATAGGCCTCTACACAATACCGTGATGGATCGCATAGGCTAATTGCATATCTTAAGCAGTGAGATCTGATTGGGCGCGCCTCGAAACAAGGCGCCCGATCAGCTTGGACGTACCAAATTATAAAACAAAATTCCACTTCCTGTTTTTGTCGCTATGAAGACTTCCTTTCCACACAAAACTGCGTTGATTGCCTGCACCTGATGAGGCTTGAGGGCACCAACACCGAAAACTTTCACAATTTTATCATCACAGATATCCTGATTTATTGGCGCCGCCATTTTATTTAAAATTAAACTCCAAAGAAGGATTTGTAACACGCTAACTGATTGGACAATGATAAGCCGCAACTGACTCCTGGGGGCATTGTTAGAATACGCACATTTTATAGTCGTTCTGCTAATGTCTGTTTGGAGGCTTGGCCGAATAAACTTAGACCTTGGCTAGCGAAGATGGGTAACTGCCAATTTTGAGGGGTTTCTGGCTAAGAATTACTGAAAAGAAGAGAAGAGAAGAAGGTTATCTGACCTAAACACCAATGGTGTCCCTGCTGTATAAAATAGCCCATCTTTGCCAAAGCACCTCTTTAAACGGACAATGGAAATTTTAGCAAAGTTCTGCCAAAACTTGCCTGCCTTGTTCCTTTCCTTTGAAACAAAAGATGTGTATTTATTGTCTGGCGTGAACATAACTATGCACACGTGTTATGTAACATACCAGATAGTACTTGTGTGTAATCACCTGCCTAGCTCGATCAATAGAGTAGACAATCCAGGACATGACTATTTGGGTTTGTCTCTTTTTAAATTGAAAGTAAAAAGTTCTCATTGCCAGAACATCCCTCAGATAGAAAATGATTGTATCAGAAGTAGAACTTGAATGCTCCAGCAGTGGAGGTACCTGGGGGCAGTTCTGTGAAATAAAAACTGCTACAACGGGACATCTTTAAATTAATTGTATGCTGACAAAAAGAATGAGAGAGATAATATATGCAATATTTAAACTTGAATGTGCATGGTCTCCATATTCTTTGTGTGAATTACAGAAAACTATAAAATTTTACTAGTTCAGTCGTACTTTAATTGCCAAAATCCAAATTTTAGGTTTGGGTAAACATAGGGATTATTCAGACAGTAAGCCCACTATTGGAAAATTTACCATCTCCAAGGTGCCAGTAAACTCCTGAAGGACCAGCCTTTATACTCCATCCCTCCCAGCCAGTCCTCCCTCCTATGTGCACCAAACGTCTGGCCTCTCTTTTGACTCCATTGGTGCATAATGCTGATCAGTATTCAACCCACGGTTTTCGCCGGGGTGGTGCTTCATGGGCGTTGTACTCAGGTATACCCACTGAGTTAATCAAACTCCTGGGGGACTGGCAGAGCGACTCCTTCAGAAAATATCTGCATCCATCCCTTCCTCTGAGGCGCCAAACAAGGAAACAATTCATAGCCAGACTACCTTCTACGTAACAACTACTCTCACTACGATGTCTTGGATCTTTGGAGACTTTAGTCCATTAGTTTAGTTTGTAGTTTTTAGATATGTACGTTACAAGTGTTTTCAAAGTCAGCATGTTCACATTTACATAGCATTTGCATAAATTTGCATATTCCTTGTGAAAAACACTGGTTTCTTAGTTCATAGTGCTTTAGTAATAAACTACCCCCTATATGGATCCAAGACATCTATATGTATGTGTGCGTTATTCTCTTTGACCTCCCAAACTGCTTGTCCCTATTGTTGTGGTGCAGTGCCCTCACAGGCCGTACCTGGATTTAAATTGAGAAGTTCTCACTTCAAGATGTTGAATACTGATGATGACCAGCATGACCTATCACTGCGGAATGGTATTTTCTTCAGATTCCTTTTTCGTTTTGAAAAGTCAGATGTCCATATTGTTTGAGTGTTTACACTGAGGATGTTGACAACTCTGAGGCAGAGTATTATTGGTAAGGAATAATAGTTGCGTTGAAGGCGCATCGAGAGTGCTCGTAGTCAATCTTGGTAAGACCCAAGTGGGTCACAAGTTGATATTACTGAATCCGTTGACCAGCGTGTTAGCTATGATTTTGGAGACAAGGAGTCTTGAAATATGCAGAAATTAGACAACTCTGTTGAGAATAGGGTACCACATTTGCATCACAACAATGGATAAGGAGTTATTGTCTGCCTCAGCTTTTCAGGATTATCAAGCATCAATCAAGATTCTTGCAAATGTCAAATTAGAGATCCCAGACCCCAAAATGAAACTACAAACTGTGCCATGTTTCTCTTATTGGTGTAGTCAGGAGACAATCAGTTCCAAGTGCAACTCTGGTAGCAGATTTTTTTCCATCTTTTGTTTTCATAAGATATCGATATTAAGGGATACAGGGCTAGCCTAGGGCCATTAGTCCATGCATAGATTCAGACAAGGTGCATCTGGAATTGACGGGAGCAGCTGGTTTGTGTTGACATATTTCGACTCGACTGAATACTAGTAGTTGTGTGCAATAAAAATCACAAACAGTACGTTTTCCACGCTGTTAGGAAATGAAAACTAACATTTAGGGATCCCTCATCTGTTTTTAGTCATGTCTAGGATAACTAGAGTAATTTTTCTCCAAACTTTTTTTTATGCATGTTACAAGTAAGCCGAACATGTCAACCAATGAACCTCAACAACAGTGGTGCCGGGTATACACGTCTTCTGTTGTCCGTGCATTCCTGCTCACCAGTGATATCTAGCTCGCTACTTGGAAACGGCAGCAAGTGTCTTCTGTGATTATTTTATCATTACACTTTCAAAACTGCTTACAAGTTGGTCAAAGGTTAATGAAATACAAATCCATTATGACCAACTGTAGCATTTCAATACTGTCAACCATTTAAATTTTGTGAGGAACTACGTTTTGAGAATTTGGTGAGTCAGTCAGAAGCAGTGGAAACTGAGTATCGATGACTTTCACCGAATTTTCTCTTCACAAATGCCATACAATCCTGAAATCGCAAAAGCTTCAGTGTTTACCCAGCATGCACACCCGCCAGTACTCAAGGCAATATTGGCAATTACAGTTCACAGTAGACATTCTAACAGAGCAAACTTAAACATAGCTCTTGTGTCACAAAGACAAAATTTATTTCATGTTTGTCCACATTACAAAGTAAATTGTTCACTTCAATGGAATAAATCTGGATGAATGTGTGGCTCCAATACCAGGTCTACCATGCTTCACTGGTTTGTAGGTTATGCTAAACTCACCAAGATAATGACCAATCATTTCAGGCTGAAAAAAAGAATACAAAAAAAATCAATGAGAACCAGGGAAATTAAGAAGGTAGTACCAAATTATAGACCTTTCAATTTGGAGATTTCAGGGTTTATTTCACACTGCTGCAGGTCAGATTGTATGAATAGTGTATCGCACTACTTAGATGTGCATTAATCAAGTTGGGCCTCTTGTTCACAGGAGTAAAAAAAGAACTTTCAATTTGTAATCAAGTGATTAGTGTTGAAAATACAAGAGATTAGTTTTTAGTTTGGTCATGTAGTTTATCAATGGATGCAGGTAACAGTACATTTTTTTTTGTTAACTGGGAATGAAGAAGCAACCCTACCAACTGTATGACAATATAAAGCTTGTCTTTTTAGCTAACAAAAAAATATTAATATTGCTACCTTCTTAGCAAAACAGTGAGCTATATTGCAATACTGCTGATTAGATTGCTTTTTCATTTACATTATTATTATTAGCTCCACTAGAAGCACTTGTAATTCATTTTTACTATATTCTCTGAAGGAATGATTCAGTGATAATAAAATACAGTGAATATACCATTTTTCTTAAGTTTTACATTCAGATTTCAGATAAACTCTTCAGCGAAAATTAATCCCATCTAAAATAAAGCATTTCACAGTACTTATTTTAACCATAGACATAGATACATCAGATTTATGTCAGCACATGTGCTACTACCGTAAAAATCATATTTGAGGCCGCAGCTTTAATAGAAGCCGCACCCCTAACTTGAGACATTGTTTCATGTTGAAATCGACAAGTTTTGATTGATCCCAGCAAAACGCCTGCAATATAAGCCGCACCCCAAACTTACACTAACCAAACAGCCACCACACATTTCAGAAAAAGATCTACCATTTAATTTTAAATTAAGGCATAATTTTTCGAACATTTCAATGATTGCTAACGCTTAGATTAGTGTCTAATTTAGGTTTTCCGTAGTCATTAATGCTTATTCCAGAGTACAGGTTTTTTGTGGGTAGCGTGAATGGGTAAACTGCGCGTTTCGACAATGAGCTGTTATTATCGTCAAAAGTGTTAAATTCTTCTTCAATGCTCAGCTTATCTTTCGAAAACAACTAATTTCTTGATTTAAAAAAAAAAAAAATCAATCCGTTTTCCCACCAAAATCAAAGCCAAACGATCGCACTACAACAACGGTAAATCTCTTCCGGGTTTCGTTTACCACGAGGTCGCTGAACTACATTAACATATTTAAATGAGCTATGGTAATTTAATCACGTTGGCACCATCCAGCGTTTCGATTGGTTAATTAGCGACTTGACCTATCAGGTCAAAAAACTAAAGATGTTTGAACCAACATGGTGGATACTGTATCGGATCGAGCGTTTATATGTGACCAAAATCATTTGCTTGCGGTGAAACTAAGTTGAATTTTCACAACAATTCAACGAATTTATTTTCTGTACGTTATTGTAATCACTACTGAGTAATAATCAGCAATTGTAACACTTCGAAAAAAAGTAAGTTATTCACTTGTGTGAAACGCAGCATGACTGTTACCGTGATCCTTTGCTACTAAGAATGCATTCGTTTTTGTTTTTACTTCTTTTAGAATATACTTTTCGTTATAAAAAAAAATAAGAAAATAAATATATATTACATTAAATAAAATACTGAGTATTTTTTGTTATCATGCGAACATTTTTTTTTGATTGACTTTTTTTAATTTTTTTATTTTAATTTCCCCGATGTCTAAATTAAATAAATATGGAATGTACAGTCACTGTGCCGGAAGTTGAACATGCCAGTAGTCTGACGCAATCGACTGTCAGATGGCTGTCTCAGTTGTAACCTATACCGGTGCTAACGAATTAGTCTATTCAAGAGATTGTAGTATACAGTACGGTAATCTGCAAATGCATACAAATTTATTGTGCAGTATGTTATACAGTGTGAAATTTCGTTTGTGTACAAGTTTGTGTGTGTAAAAATCCGAAAGTGTGCTTAGAATCGCAACAAAGTTGCAATCAAGTGTCGTGCATCTCATTATCCCTTCTGGCCTTTGTTTCTTAAAAAAATTTCCTGCTGTTACCGAAGTGAATGCTCTAATTAAAGGCGCACCAAGACTTCACACTGATCTGAATTCGTCCATTGAAAAAATGAATTTTAATTAAAGCCACGGCCTCAATTAGGAATTTTACGATAATAGATTAAATATAGTATTCAGATTTAAAACTAATGTGAAAAACAAATTAATAAACACCACCAATGTAGGCTTATCCACTCACCAATGGTGAACTGTTCTGTTACTTTGCAGAAACATTTTTTTGGCCAAAATATTCCAATAGCATCAAATTTGTCTGATAAGTAGCAATTTGTAAAATATTATCAGTGGTGTAAAGCCTTGAATCCAGACATTCAGAATGCTTCTAGTTCACTCAATAATGGTCCGGTGCAGCGCTACATAAATACATAGACGGGACAGAATTCTGCCTCCTCACTGATTGACCATCTAAACGACTCCACAAAAAATTCATACCTTCACTTCAACCTGGTTAAACGTTTTACCATTGTAGACACCAACCATGCTGCCAACCATCTCTGGGAGAATTATCATATTTCGTAAATGGGTTTTCACAACTTCTGGTTTCTCCAGTTCAGGCGCTTCTTTCTTGGCTTTCCTTAATTTTTTTATAAGAGCGTATGACTTGCGTTTGAGTCCCCGCGTGAGCTTTCTCCTGGCACGAGCTGGAAAGAGTTCCATCAACTGCTCGCTGAAGATGAAAAAAATCACATCTAAAATGAACATCACTGTTGCCATACACACCTGCTGGATATCCAAGGGGTCCAATCAGAAAATCTTCATCAGCGATATATTTTGGTTTTCAATTAAGAGAAAAAATGGAAAATACTGAAAAAGCCACAGCCCACTGTCTAGGGTATATATTTTGGTGTTCTAAGGGTTGTGATAACAAAATAAGAATTTATTGGGGGCGTTTATTTTCGAACTGAGGACAAACTTAGATTGTTATGCCAAGTTTTGCATGGTTTGGAGTTTGAAACATAATTATTCAGCGAGAATTAAAAATGCAGTTTATCATATCAAACTGATGTGCAATGCACACTAATCACTTAGCCAGTCAGGGAAGGGACCCCACCAATGGATTAAAACAAGGACAGCAGTTGTACCAACCGTACAAACTACCGTACACTTACTTGGACATATCCAACAGCTGATCCAGATCCACACCACGGTAGGTGTATTTCCTGAAGGTACGCTTCTTTTTTGGCTGTTCATCTGCCTGTGACAAATATATGTAAATAAGTAAGTATGTACCACAGATTACGACAGTATCACGATAATGCAACAATGCCGTACCATAGTATAGGTACGATAATGATGCGTTTTTATTGAAAATTATTCTAAGATAGATAAATGTGCACATTGTTCAACGACTAGGGCCAGCGTAGGTCAACATTTATCTCAACAACTCGTAAACAGAGACAGTTTTGACTTTATTATTATTATTGTACATCGACATGGCCGACAAACTAGCAATGTCTATCCGTTCATCGCCGGGAGAGAAACTCGACACTACATATATTCGCTGGGGAGGGATTGTTCTGCATGTTGTTCTCATCAACCAGTGTATTATAAACCAGTGATTGCACAACAATCGTGCAAGAAAGTGCAAGTCTAAGAATGACATGGTACATCAGGCTTGTAGAGTACTACAAGATTACTCGTACATGTAATGCCTAATCACGCACAAAAAAACACTATCGAGCCTAATTTTCCTAGGAACACCAGCGACAACATTCATTCTATCGTGTGAAAGTAGTAAATATACTCGATGGTAATTTTCTAGCTTGATTTTGACCGATATTTTTCAGACAACCTGTGATACCCACCATTGTGAACGAACGCGACGTTGAAGAGAAAGAGGACCCGGATGTTGTCGATGGCAGCGCCCTCAAGTAAAGGATGTTTTCGTCTCCAGCTTTTAACCTTGAGGGAGCTGTTTATCAGAAATCCATGCAAGATCAACGGGGGGAGGCAACATGTGAAAGTTTTTGTCGTCGCGCAGCGCGTGTCCGAATTTCATGTAAGTAAATAATGAATTTTACACATCGCCGTTTGCAAATTTATTTATAATAATAATAATTATCTTTATTGCGTTCGTATCCCTATTATGATTTTGCCTAAAATGCAATACAGATGTGAATAAAGACAAACAAACAATTAAAGTGAGAATAAAAATACACACAGGAAAATAAATAAAAAACAACTAGCAAATAAAAGTAGAAAAAAATAATGGTAAAGTAAATTGGATTGTTTTCCACATTTGTGTTGGTGAATGTTTAGATTACTCTTGCATGTACATGACCTTATCTTGAGATAGCTGACTATAATGTTTTCAACTTTTCCTCTCTTGTTTTGAAACAGTTCTCTATGTATTTTGCTATTTGTATTATTGTTTTCTCATCTTTATTATTTAAAATATATTTTCTTTTTTCTTTATTGTTTGCTAAGTGTTGGGGTGATAACAGCTGAAAAAGTTTTTTTCTTTCTCCCGCGTAGAG